TTCTATTTGTAACTGTCAAATGTATTTATTGAAATTTGTCATGTTTTATATTATAGACTAGCGATAACCCGTGCTTGAAGGCACTGTATAATTTAAAAAAATTGATAATTGATTGTGAACACAAAAAAATAAAGTACTGAACATGAACGTGCACATTAAGCTGAAAGATATAACTATATCCTTAACGCACCTGTACTTTGAATTAGTGGTCAACAAAGTGTTACCTATATGAAGATGGAGAAAACTAAACTTTAATGATCAAAGTCCCATAAACCTAAATTGAAAACACATAAAATTCATATTCTTGAAACAACATACCTAATTAGAATTAACAGTAGCGCCTAGTAAGCGATGATTGGTTTAAGAACCGACATTCACTTATCTAACTTAATGCCATGACTTTGGTGAACTAAGGTGAGTCGGAATGCTTTCTTTTCATTCATCATAAAAAATACAATTAGAAGAAATGTATATCCCTCAAGGCACTATATTATGCTAAACTTGTCAATATTAATCAACTATTTTTCTGTACAAAATTTTGACAAATTTTTTCCTACAAATAGAGCTGCAAGAAACAATCAATCTATGGTAGACAATTTATGAAATACTAATTACACAATTCACCCTCTATAAAATCCTAATTAAACAAATAAACTGTGAACTTTCACATGTTATATTGCACCAATCCAACCAAATTGTGTTATCTATACTAAATCAAGACTCACAACAATCTATGCTACCTATACAAAAGACCAACTAAAATGGAAGTGGCTAAAAAATAACACATGCACATTTTATGTATACAAAGCGACTCAAGACCATTTCGATGGAGATGACGACGTGCGGACCCGTAATTTTAGTGTTCAATAATGAAAATGATAGTCATTCAATTAATTGTCAATCTCGGGATCATTCTATGTTTATATTTCTAAAGTAATGCTGGTGATTCTTTTATTCCTCCAGGACGGTTTCATTTTGCCGCATACAATGAATGTTGGTGGGCGGCCATAATGTTCTCCCCTCTATACCCGCTTTAGAAATTCACATATTTATATCTATATCTATATAATAAAATAGCTTACAATTCAAATTTTAAAAGATAAAAAAATGACTTTTGCTACTCGCAGTTGAGATCACTTTAAATTTTACTTTAAAATTAATTTAACGGCTAATATTAACACCTTAAATATAATTAGAAAAATAGGCCACTAAGGGTGTGTTTAAAATGACTTTTTAAAAATACATCCAAAAATTATTTATCATAAATACTTAAAAAAAATAGTGTTTGAAACTGTCCCACTACTACATCTACCATAACCACCACCACCACCATCGTCGTCGTCGTCACCGCCACCACCGTCGCCACCACCACCATTGCCACCACCACCATCGCCACCATCCTCACCACCATCATTGCCACCGTCGCCACTACTGCTGCCGCCACCATCACCACCATTATCGCCACTGCCGCCATCGCCCCACCCCACTACCGTTGTCGCTGTCACTGCCACCATCGCCGCCGTCGCCATCGCCATCATCACCGTCACTGCCACCATCACCGTTGCCACTACCACCACCACCACTGTCGTCGCCGCCACCACCACCACCACCGTTTCTGCCACCATCACTACCACTATCGTTGCCGTTGCTGTCACCACCACCATCGCTATCACCGCCACCACGGTCATTGCCACCTACCACAACCATTACCGTCTCCTACCACCACCACTGTCGCTCACCACCTTTCATTCCCACTATAAAATCGATGTTTAAATTCCTTTATCTCTTCACTATATTTGTGATTTGATTTTGGATATAAATACAAATATGTTTATTATTTATCAAATTTTTTTACTCTGTGTCTTCAGGCACATGTAATAACTAGTCTACATAATAAAGTAGTTTACAATTCAAATCTCAAAAGATAAACAAAATTATTTTTGCTATTCGCGGTTAAGATCGTTTTAAATTTTACTTTAAAGTTAATCTAACGATTAATATTAAAACTCCAAATTTAATAGGAAAAAATAGGCCTCTAAGGACGTGTTTCGAGTAATTTTTTAAAAGTGTTTCTAGAAATTATTTTTCATAAGTACTTTTAAAAAAAATATTGTTTTGAATCGCTCCATCACTACCTCGACCACCGCCACTGCCATCGTAGCCACCACCACCACCACCATCACCTCCAGCGCCACCATCACCGCCACCGCCATCACTACCATCATCGTCGCCGCCACAACCCCCACCTCCACCACTACTGCCACCTCCCACTGCTGCAATCGTCGTCGTCGCCACCGCCACCGCCACCGCCACCTCCACCACCGCCACTATTACCGCCCACTATCTCTCACCCCCATTACAAATCGATGTTTAAATTCTTTTATTTCTTCTCTATGTTTGCTATTTAATTTTAAATATGAATACAAATATATTTATTATTTACTATTTTTTATTACTTTTTGCTTTCAGGCACAGACAATAACTAGTAATAAAATAATTTATAATTCAAATTTTAAAAGATAAACAAAATGACTTTTGCTATTTGTGATTGTGATCGCTTTAAATTTTACTTTAAAGTTAATCTAATGACTAATATTAACACTCTAAATTTAATAGGAAAAGTAGACATCTAAGGGTGTGTTTGGATTGAATTTTTAAATGTATTTTTAGAAATTATTTTTCATAAATATTTTTTTAAAAAAATAGTGTTTGAAACCGTTCCACCACTACCTCTACCACTATTATCACCACCACAACCACCCCCTCTATCGCCGCTGCCACCACCATCGCCGCCTCTGTCGCCGCCACCACCCCACCCCCACCATTGCCATTGCCCCATCACCCCCCCATCGCCACCACCAACCGCCACCGCCACCGCCACCGCCACTACAAACCGATAGAGGAGAGATAAATAAATTTAAGTATCGATTGTAGTGGACATGAGCGATGGTAGTGGTGGTGGGCGATAATGATGATGATGAGAGATGGTAATGATTGTGGTGGGTAAGACGATGATTGTGGTGATGGTAGCAACTGTGGGTGACAATGGTGATGGTGGTGGTGATAAGGTGGTAGAAGCGGCGGTGGTGGGTATGGTAAGGTGACAATAGTGATGGTGGTGATGATAGTACTGGTGGTGGCTGTGGTGGTGGTGGAACGGTTTCAAACACTATTTTTTTTTTAAAATACTTATGAGAAATAATTTCTAAAAGTATTTTTAAAAAGTCACTCCAAACACATCCTTAGAACTCTATTTTTCTTATTAAATTTAAGGTGCTAATATTAACTGTTGAATTAAATTTAAAATAAAATTTAAAACGATCTTAATGGTAAATAACAAAACTCATTTTGTTTATTTTTTGAGATTTGAATTGTAAGCTATTTTATTGTATATATATATATATATATAGATATAAAGGAGAATTATGCTTTGTACCCTTCAAAATTTAAAAATTTTCACTTTAAACTTTAAAGATTATTTTTTTATATTTTACCCTTATTAATAAAAAAGTGTTATAATTTGATATTTTCTTTAGTGTCTGTTACTCATTCCTTAACGTCAGTGAAGATGGACTTTGAAAGAATAAGACCACGTTTGGTTTGTGATCCGAAAACAGTTTTTTGTTCTCAAAATTTTAAAAACACTCAAAACCTATTTGTTTAACATTTTTGTTCTCTAAATTTTGGGAAAAAAATAAAATTTGAGTCAAAGAAACAAAAAACAAGTGTAGATTATTTTTAGAGTTTTTTTTGAAAATTTTGGAAACAAGGAGAACAATATATATATTTTAAAGTTTGGTTTATTAAATTTTTTTTTATGAAATTGTAAATCTAAAAATAAATTTTTTCTATTTTTTTTTATTAATGTTTGAGTTAAGGTTCAAATATATATTTAGGCTGTCTAAACATGTTTTATTATTTTTCGTATTATAAAATTATTTTTAAAATCATCTAACCAAACAAGTTTTTTATTTCAAAAAATATCAAAACTACTTTCTTAAAACTTTTTTCAAAAATTGTTTTCGAATACTATTTTTTGAAACACAAACCACACAGGCCCTAAGTAACAAAAGGTAACAGGGTCACATTAAAATATTGAGTAATACTATTTGAACCTAAAAATCTAACCTAATTTACTGATATAATGATTTGGTTTCAATAGAACCATTGGATCAACACCAAATTCCAATGTTTGATGGGCTCTACAGTTAATTCAAATGTCATAGTGAATTAGGCCAATAAATTAAGTCTCAATAGCATTGCTCTAAAATATTTTTAATACATTAAGAAAATAATGCCAGAAATCTCATATATGAGAAAAAATATAAAATAAAAAAATTAAATCTTTTAAGGCACAAAATAAAATTACCCATTGACCAAGCCAGACTCTTCCTCATCCATCCACGTGGATCCATCTCAGCATTTCAGATTTGTTCAAAGGAAAACGCAAAAGGAATAAGATATTTACCCAATTGCGGGCCTTCCTACTCCTGCCCTCTTGTGGCTTACTTTTTTTTTTTTTTCGGTTAGTCTTTTGGCTTACTTTAATCCCGAAGACTTTAACGCATTTACGTGATGAGCTCACCGCAGTCATGTATCATATGTGTTCGTATTTTTTGATGTATTTACTTCATTTTTGCTTGTCTATTATTAAAATTTGATTCTAATTAATTTTTTTTACTAGAATCTACAATTAGCATAATATTAAGAAAATACTAAATTCTACTCTAATTAATTATTTTTTTTTCATTTCTACAAATACTAAATTTAATAAAAAAATATATATTTAATATTAATTTAAAAACATAATTAATTATCGCTGCTTGATTAAAATTAAAATTCACCACTAATTTAAAATCACTTCTAAGTCCCAAAACGGATAAACTCATGGAAAAGTGGGTCCCACCGCATAATCAAGTCAGATACGTTTCTGATGCCACTACTGCACCTAGAGTAAGGCATTATAAAATAGGAAAGAGAAAGAGAGAGAGAGAGCCCCACAACGAACTCAATAGCAACTCAAACAGAATCGGTCTTCCTGTTCTTCTTAACCTCGAACTTTTCTCTCTCTCTCTCTCTCGCGAGAATCTCAGTTGTTCAACGAATCGATACACGTGGTGTAGAATTTCCAAATCTTGAAGAAATAGTTTTCTGTGCGATCAGATTAATTATATTTTGCGGTTTGTGTGGGTTGATTTGCATAAATGGCGATGGACGACAACGAGAGCTGTGGTAGCAGAGCGGAGGACACGTTATCGCCGAAGCAAAGTCGGCAGCAAGGACAGAAACTTGAAGTATTCAATGAGGTGCTTAGTCGACTCCAACACTCCAATCACGACGACACCAAGCTTCCTGGTTTCGAAGACCAGCTCTGGCTTCATTTCCAGCGCCTTCCTTCTAGGTACTTAAACCCTACCTTCCACTTCTTATCGTATTAATCAATCCTTAGTCTAATTCCTTATTTCTTGATTTCCTCTCTCTCTCTCTCTCTCTATATATATATATATATATATATAGATGTGTTGTGTGTGTACAATTTCAATTGCAGTTCTATTGTTGTTCATTGTTTTACATTCATCCAAAGGTTGAATTGCATCATTAGTCCTGTGGCCTAAATTAATGTTGGGTTCATGTTTTTGGCTGTAAATATATGTAGATACGCATTAGATGTGAATGTGGAGAGGGCAGAGGATGTTCTCACACATAAAAGACTGCTGCTTCTCGCAGAAGATCCTGCTAATAGACCTGCCTTTGATGTTCGCCTTGTGCAGGTAAAAACACATTACCTTTTGATATCGCTACACTATTTGTTTTTTATTCCTAGCTCCACATAGCAAGAATTGGTGATTGAAAGCAAATTTTCCGGCAGTCTCGTTATTATTTGTGATTAGGTACATAATCAGGCTCACATATCAGGAGTGCAATAATATTGCTAACCTAACAATCAGGACGAGTATGGTTGTAGATTTAGAGAACGATATCCCAGCCACGTAAGTCGAGTTGAAGGGGTGTTGAATCAGCGGGCCACGCAGAAGTCAACAGCTGAACAAAAAAATTGCTCTACAGGGCTACTGGTGGGTCTGCTTCTTCCATCACTGCCCCCATGGAAGGTGCTTGTTTACCAACTTTCTATGTGCTGTGGTGAAGACTGCCTGCCAGCAGGGACCTGAATATTTTTCAGGCCTTCCTGAAAACTGCCCATACTATGCCTTAATATTAATCTTGGACTGACTTTAGATAGGCTACAGTCAGTTATGTTCACCCTCCCTATAATTTTCTCTGCGAAGTTCACAATGTGAAAATAGCTTTTTTCGTTCATCCGTTGATCCCTTTTTTTTTTTTTTTCACTATGGCCTTTATGGTTACATACTGACATGAGGTACTGAATTGGTTTTTGAGGGGATTTTTGTGGATTTGCAATATCAGTTGCAGTATTAGAACATGCTTGAAAGAGCTCCATTATATTCCTTGGTGGCTTCCGCATGCTAAAAAATCATGAGCAATATAAATTGCGAGTTTATAGTTTTGAAGAAGAAGTTTCATTTGACTTTTTGTACATGGTTTTAAGAGATTTCTAAGTGATCTGGAATTTCTGTTGGATAAGCATGCCCTATTTGGACTGAACTATTGCCCAATTGGATCCTTGAAGACTATATTGTTGGCATGCCTTAAGATCTTGAAGTGTCCACTTGCAAAATGAAAATACTTTGGTGATGCCTATTATCTCGACTTGTTAAATCTGTTCGTATTGCAATAAAGACAGTAGATTTTCCGCATGATAATTATTATAACTTTTTTAATAATTCCATGCACAATTATTTTATTAGAAGGATAGCTTTCCCTTCTGTCTCAAGCAGACAGGCTTTGAGTGTGCCTAAAGTCAAGGGATGAATCAAATGGTTATGGATAAAAAGAAACGTCTGGTAAAACCTTCAAGTTTATTTTCCCTTGTGAGTTTCACTTGAGATACTTCAATTTCAGATTATTAGTTTAGAAATTTGGTTTTCACTTATTGAACGTATATTGTGATTCTGATTTGAAAATATGCAAATGTTTTTTTGATCTGCTTTAGTTTGATGTAACTTTTGCCTTATGTAAGTTATCTTGCGCAGGTCCATCCTACCTCCTACGGAAATACTACTGATTTCATTGATTGTGGAATGAACGCAGAAGCTCAAAGTTGTTCTAGTCATCATAACCGACAGGGGTATGATTCTTGACTCTTACTCTGTTCCTGATATGATTTTAACATTCAGTGTTGCTCAGCTTATGTCAATTTACTGCTTTATTTTGCTATCCTTCTTCCTTCATTTTCTTTTAATTGTTTCTTATATCCATTATTAACTCTATATTCCCTCCCCCTGGTCCCCTTCTTTTTAGAATCCATCCTCCGCCTACCTTTGGTTCATCACCAAATCTTGAAGCCCTTTTGCTTCAAGCTAACAGAAGTCATGCTGATGATGGAGATAGCATTGTGAATTCTACTTCACAGATTTCTCGGTAAATCTTTCAACTAACTGAGCATTATTCAAACCTTTTGCACTTGACCTTATGCAAAAAGCTTTTGAGTAAACTTTTTACTCTTACTGGTTTGAATGGTTTGCCTTGCATTTTAGTATATTAACTTGTCAATTCCTGAATTTTCCTTGTTTTGGAGGCTGTAATTATAACAAAAGATAATTCTTTGTGATTTTATTTGTTTTTTTTTTCCAAAAGTCACAAAGATGAAAACATGCTCTTGTTATAATGAATGAGGCTGTATTCATGTATCATAACCAAGTGAAATCATTAGAGTAATTTTGCCATTAATTATACGAGATTACCTTCATATAGTGTTATTATTTCTTGAGGTGATGATGGTAGTTTTTTTATCCTTTTTCTTTTCTTTTCTTTATTGGTTTTTTCTTACCGTGCCAGAAAGTTTTGGAAGTCAAGCTTTAGTGGGTCTCCACATTCTTTAGTGTTAGTTAGGTCATAGCTCTTTGTTTCGCTCACTTCCTCTGTCTTTACCAATCTCCTAATTCCCTTAAAACATACCGTGTTTTGTGCTCTGCAAATATGGTATTTTAAGAAAATATGAGGAAGAGGATTGGTCAAAATGGCTAGTGATTCTGACCGATACATCGAAATTGCCTCCCCTATTTGTAAAGTAGTCTAGACAAAAAAACCCGGTTAGGATGAACCGGTTATCTTATGAAAAAACTTCTCCTAGAACATGAGAGGCTTAGGAAACTTAAGAAAATGAGAAGGATAGTAGAACAGCATCATATTGACTATTCTTGCAGGAAATTCAAATGGGCAGCCCAGCCAATTAATCCCTAAATAAATTTGGTTGTTTCTTGACGTGAGGAAAGGGGTTAAGCAAGTGGGATGTTGGTATTTATGTGCATGTTTGTCCTGCCGATGCTTCCAACTAGCAAGAGCAGACCTTGTAGCTGTTTTGTTGAAGGAACCAGGTAGGTTTGACAGCTGCAAAGGACTGTTTTTTGATTGAGAATTTCTTACCTACACTGCCAGTCAAGTACTCAGTTAACAGCAACCACGTGTTAATTGTGTTATACTTTTGGCATAGGTTTTGGTTTGGACTGCTTTTTTTTCCTTTTTTTTTTTCCTAGTCATTTTTCAACTTCATTTATGTCTTTTTTTCTTTGTTGGTTAACTTACCCTTTAAGAAAGGGTGCTTTGATAGACTTGATATTCTTATAATTGTCCTTGTCAACTTGATATTCTTATAATTGTTTTCATGATGAATTGTTCCCTTTTTGGGTCAATAATTTATACTACACTCAGTTTATCTCGAAATTGGAAATCATGCAGGCCTATGCACGAGATAACCTTTTCAACAATAGACAGGCCAAAATTGCTCAGTCAGGTAGTTCACTAGTTTTTTCTTCTATCATCATATGTTGTGATTAGCTTTGGCAAAGGGATGGATGTAGGGTGAGGATTCCCATCCCTGCTCTTGGCCTCAGAGGAAGACTTAGTTTTGCCTTCCTCTCTTGGGACTGAAATTGCTTAAGATTGGACAAAATAGAAAATAGAGATGAGGCAGGGCAGCTGGAAAACTCTGTCACAAGTAAACGTTCTAGAAAGTTGAACTCTGATGCCTTTAGAGCTTTGATGTGTATAGGCAGCAGCAGGAAGACAGGAATCAATATGACATAGTTATGTTGACTATAGATTATGATTATGTGAAATGATATCCGCGTCATTAAATGTTCAATGCGGCATTAGAGTTGCACATCCAAAACTTATCAAAAAACGTAGTTCTGTTTGACTTATGGGCCTTCTCATACCAAAAGAAACAGTGATATACCCCATAAACTTGGCCTTGTGTAAGTAATATTGACTGGGTTAATAATTCCTCTTCTCAAACTTGCCCATCCCTGGTAGGAGCTTCCCAAACTTAGTCAATAGAGGCCATGGTTTGCACTGTTCTTTTATTTGCACATTTTGCTTTGCCAATATTACTGTAAAACATCCTTTTACCTTTTTCACTATATACAGTGATGACTGACGAAGAAACAATTTTTGAGGTAATTGAACTTTTGCTGTTTGGATGACAAGAGATATATGTGAGTGAAAGAGATATTCAAACTAAGAGTAAAGCCCCATATATATAGCCAAATAATATTACAAGGTGACCTAAACATCCTTATAGTCTAGGCAAAATATAAAAGTCATAATAAAGGTAAAAAGAGAAAAATAACCCTAATAAACTAGGTCTAATAAATTAGGCTACTATAACTCCAATACTCCACCTCAAGCTAGGCGCAAAAATGTCAACTAAGTCAAGCTTGACAACGGAGTCCCGAAAAATGGATAGAGTGACAGATTTGGTGAAAACATCTGCAACCTGATCACTGGTTCTCACAAAAGATGGAGTGACAATACCACTGTTAACCTTCTCTCGAAGAAAGTGAACATCGATCTTTATATGCTTCGTCTTCTCGTGTAATACAGAGTCAGAAGCAAGCTGAATAGTAGATCGATTATCACAATATAATGTAGATGAAGAAGTCACTGAAAATTTCAACTCGCCAAGAATCGATCGTAGCTAGATAATCTCACATGTGCAAAGTGCTAATGCCCGATACTCTGCCTCTGCTGACGAACGAGAGACAACTGACTGCTTCTTACTCTTCTAAGAGATAAGATGAGCCCCTCGAAAAACACAGAAGCCCGTAGTAGATCAACCGTCACACGCTCCCCCATAATCTGAATCTGAATAACAGGCTAGAGAATCAGTCTAAGATCCAGGACAAGACTTAAGGTACCGAAGGATATGATAAACTACATCAAGATGAGGCTGACATGGTCTGTGCATAAACTGACTAACTCGGCTGACAGCAAATGAAATGTCTGGCCTAGTGTTGGCTAGGTAGATAAGTCTACCTACCAACCTCTGATAAACAGTCGGATCTCTCAACTCCTCCCCTTCAGCAGTAAGTTTCAGGTTTGGAATCATGGGTGATGATGCCAGTTTGCACCCCAGCATCCCAGTATCTGAGAGAAGATCCAGAACATACTTTCTCTGAGAAAGAACAATACCCGTTCTGCTATGGATAAACTTAATTCCAAGAAAGTATCGCAGAAATCCAAGGCCCTTCACATCGAAGGCCTTTCCAAGGTCTATTTTGACCTGCACAGTCCCAAAAACATCATCTCCAGTAATAATAATATCATCAACATATACCAAAAGGATGACACACTGTCCAGAAGTATTCCGTCGAATGAAGCAGGTATGATCAGAATGACATCTGGTGAACCCCAAACGTACGACTACATCACTAAAGCGAGAGAACCAGGCTCGTGGTGACTATTTCAGTCCATAGAGAGACTTACGCAGTCGACATACCTTTTCAGCATACTCTCCCTCACCACAAAAGTTCGGTGGTGCATCCATATAAATAATCTCGTTCAGATCACCGTAAAGAAATGCATTCTTCACATCCAACCGATGAAGAGGCCAAGAATACTCTGCAGCCAGAGAAATAATCAATCGAACAGTAGTCAATTTTGCCACGGAGGTAAAGGTAGCACCAAAATCACGACCCGGTACCTGAGTAAAGTCCTTCGCCACAAACGTAGCCTTGTGACGATCAATAGTACCATCCGCAAGAAACTTCAAGGTGTAAACTCAGCGACAGCCAACAGGCTTCACCCCTGAAGGTAAAGAGACAAGATCCCATGTATGATTATGCTGAAGAGCGTCCATCTCCGTTTGTATGGCAAGAACCCACTGGGGCTCCCGCATAGCCTCTGAAACAGAGCGAGGAACCGGCGTATCTGATAAGGCCATATTATAAGCTCGAAATGTAAGAGAAAGATCACCATAAGAAATATAAGTAGAGATCAGATATAAAATCCTGGAGGTCTAGCCATAACGGACAACTAGACGGCGATCACGCTGCGGATAACGACGCCCTAAATCATCTTCCGCCACTGACAATGTCTCATTAGGGAAAGTAACTGACTCAGTACCTGAAATCTTATTAGTACTAACAACAGGTGCATCAATATGCTCAACGGACTGAGAAGTATTACCTGTATCGCCTAAGGTAGAGGGGACATCAGTAGGGGGATGAGAGCGAGGGCAATGAAAATAAACCTGCAAAGGAAGAGAGACTGGTGACTTTGTAGTGACAGGGACGAGTGGCTTTGGTGGAGGAGAGAATAATGACTTTGTAGTGATAGTGACCAATGGTTCTGGCTCTTGTGGTAACGAAAAATCAAAGGGAGTATCATCAACTGGAGGGGCAGATACAGGAATGGAAGAAAAATAAGGAATGTGCTCAAGAAAGATAACATCTAGATTGTAATATATACGACGCCTGATAGGATCATAACACCTATACCCCTTAGACTGATGACAATGGTCCACAAAGACACAACGAATCGCTTTATCATTAAGTTTATGGCGAGTAGGAGATCGATCCTAAACAAAACATGTGCAGCCAAAAACACGAGGGGGGACCGGAAAAAGTGTCCACTCAGGGAATAAGACCTGTAAGGGAGCCCTATGCTGAAGAACACGACTCGGTGTACGATTACACAAAAAGATAGAAGTCAAAATAGCCAAATTTCAGTAAGATTTTGGTACCCCTATACCTCTAAGCATACAATGTATCATCCCTATTAGACTCCTATTTTTTCTTTCAGCAACTTTATTTTGCTCAGGAGTATATGGACAAGTGAGCTGCTGAAGGATACCCTGAGAAGAAAGGTGAGACACTAAAGCATCAGACACATATTCTTTGGCATTATCCGAACGAAGATCACGAACAATAACATCGAATTGTGTCTTAATTATTTGGAGAAATTGAGTGATGACAGGGAGTACATCAAATTTCCTATGCAAAAAGTAGACCCAAGTACAAAAGGTGTGGTCATCTATAAATGTCACATAGTATCGAGCACCTGACAGAGCAATAACAGGAGAGGGTCCCCAAATATCAGAGTGTATTAGGTCAAATGGCTTGGGTGACTGGTGCATGCGAGGAA